TTAACGCTGTTTTTAACAGTATTCCAGTTGAATCACAGCGTGTCAGCTTAGGACCTGTAGGAGGACATACCGAAGTGATGCAGGTACTTGATGTTTACTTCGGTGAAAACCACGAGCACGGGTATGGTGCTGACAAACCTAGAAACATAACCCACAATCAGAGGTTTCTGGCATGCCCAAGGGACGCAACTAGGCACAGATACTTGCACCGCCTTGGACGACTGGGCCACCCGTGCCTCCACAAGAGTCAGGAATATTTCAAGACACTTTCGGGGATGAAACACCGAGAATGGGGAAAAAGGACATCACATTTTATTTCTATCTCCAGTGGAAACTAAGGCAAACCATTTGACTTACTTACCAAAATAACTGAAATCAATTCAGGAAATAAAATCCTGTACATTATATCTATTTTATACCTGAATTGGAAGTGGTTCTTGTGCAGTGGTGCCCTGTTTCATCCAACACCTGTCAATTTTCAAGGAAGGTGGAGTAACAAGGTTTTACTGTATACAAAACCAGAGGGAACACTGAACAGTGCAGTCCACGCCAGTTGGGCATGGATACAGCTTCAAGGTGGAGTAACAAGGTTTTACTGTATACAAAACCAGAGGGAACACTGAACAGTGCAGTCCACGCCAGTTGGGCATGGATACAGCTTCAAGGTGGAGTAACAAGGTTTTACTGTATACAAAACCAGAGGGAACATTGAACAGTGCAGTCCACGCCAGTTAGGCAGTGACCATCAAAGAGTGGATACAGCTGCTCAAGGAGCATTTGAAGTTTTGGCAATTTGTGTTTTGTTATCATGTAATTTTGTTGAATATCTATCATCAAGTGAGTTTGTGTATTCTGAAAGTACAGGACTTTTGCAATCATCTGAATGTATCGATGTTGAGTACGTATCAGAAGGGATGGGGTGGGGTGGTAGGTGGCAGGGGGAGGGTGTGGGTGTGTTTTCGTGGTGGGTGGGTGTGGGTGTGGGTGCACATGCCTGCTGTGGATCTGCACATGTAAGATGGACAGAGACCACATGTCTTGTACTCCATGCATTAGCTACTTCGTCTGTGTGCTCTGCTGGGAGGTCTGTGTGCAGGACAATCACATGAAACATGGACAAGCTTGCTAACACATCAACTAAACACAATTTCATTGCAAAAACACTGAGTATTTTCATTAAGCATTTGTTACACACATTGGAACAAACTTAAAGAACAATGTTCACATTGTCGCTAGAACATTATACATCATACCGATAGTCAGCTTTTCCGCTGAGTGAAATTTAGCATACAAAGTGTATGCTTGTTAATTTTAAATCATGTTTGATTTGACATACTGAAAATACTGTTATGTGAATAGGTACTAAAAATTGTGCATAAACAGTTTTCTTGATAAACGTTTTGAAATATAAATATATATTCACTGTATTACTTTGCATTCCTACTGACATATCAGATAACATCTACTTCACAGTCCTATCACACCACTCACAAGGACTTTTAGTCTTAAACCCTCACAAAGGAGGGTTTGGTTTTGTTCAACTAAGAATATTGAAGTAAGTTCACTAAACACTTACGTAATGAAAAATCAATGAGGTGGTCGAACAATACCCTCAACAGGTGTAGACATTTGTATATTACCTAGCCAGGTGTCTCTATAATATAGGATCACTCAAATCTTGTCTTGAGATTCTCATTAACCTCTTTCAAATGTAAACAAGATAATTGACACATACCTGTACCAAAAGGATACGTCATCCTCAGGTTAACAAAATCAATCCGTTATCCGCACATGTGGAGAATGTAGTGTAAATATATCAAACATTATCAGCACAAACATTAGGACACAAGTGATATTCATCTTTTCAAACTTGTTTCTCCTGTCAATACACAAATAGAACAACAAAATATGACTGAGAAAAATATGACTGTCAGACTGGCGAGTCCGTGAAAACAAATGGCTGACAACTAATTGTCAGCTGGAGTTAAAACATTGTTGCACATTTCCTCTGTTAGAGTCAGCCTTTATAAAGGGAGGCATGTATGGGTTTTAAAATAAGAGCCAGGACTCTGAAAAGGGGTGGGAGGGTAACATGACAATACCGCTTGATTTCAAGGTTGAAAGTAGTAACTGAGAATAGGGCTGGGACGGGTAACTCGGGCACTCGGGCCGGGTGGGTCCTGAGTAGGACCCGGGTACCCACACGACTAACCGGACCCGTGATTAGTCACGTGATATATATTGTTTAATGACAAAAATTATCTAAAACTCTATGGTTACACTATAAGACACTAATATTCCCATTTCTTTCTGACAATGCACCCATTCCTTCTTAATTCTATATGTTTGAATAAAGATAAAACTTCATGCATTAAACTTCAGTGTATCGGATCGTTTTACACATTATCTATATACATTTTGCCAGGGTTACGGTCAAACTTTTCCAAATCGGTCAGTTTGTACCTATTTCTAAATATCTACAACGGGTACCCGGGTAGGGTCGGGTAATAGGGTGATGGGTACCCGGGTAGTAAATTTGGACCCGTCCCAGCCCTAACTGAGAACACTACTGATATATACATAAATTTGTATCATTAACACAGTAGGCATTTGTCACTGTGATGTAGACCGTTAAAGATTTCTTCCCATTGCATTTTACAACCATACAGTTAACAAAACAAAGCCTCCCTTTTCATCACAGATGACATGAATAAGTGCCGACCTTCTAATAAGGCTGGCATCTGACAAAGTAATTTGAAGCTATTATGTATATACCAGGGTTCCATTCAACAAAACCATCTCAGAGTTAAGAAGTAATTCTGTGTCCCGGTAAGGGAGTTACGACAATTGTGGCCCAAAGATTGCGTTGCTGAATGGGCTCCCGGGCTCCTGGGCTCCCAACAGAGGTGATGTGGCAGAATATTATGTCCGTGGGACAGAGGTTTATATGAGGAAAGATCTTCCTTGTAAAATAAAACAATGAATGCTGATTGAGATACCGGCTGTAAAACAAGCAATCACAACTAGAGACTTTGAAATAAAACTGTGGAGGTGACAACCAAGTGTAAAATTCAGTTAAGATGAATGCTGATAACAAATTAATTGCTGTCACATGATGGATTATGTACACATAGTGTAAGTTCTGAGACACTGACTACACCTGTGACGATCTGATGATGCTCAGGTGAAGCTCCATCTTCCTGAGGCAAGGGAATTAACTGACTGTAAAAGTCTATGCATAGTCCAACCAAAATCGCTCAACGAAAACAACATCCAGTTCGTAAACTGCCATGCAGATTTTCATCGATTACAGGATTTGCAAAGCATATTTTCCAAATATTTTGTTTTAATCAAGGTGCTTACGTCATTTGATGCAAGTAAGACCCGTTTTATTACAATATAGATCTTGATTATCGATCAGATATCCATTTGAAACAAATGCAAGTGATATCAGAGGTGAAATCTGATTGGTCAATAGGAGGGACATACAAGGGACATAATTTGTAATAGCCAATGGTGCAATCAAGCCCAGAACTTCCAGCCTAGTTTGGCAAGGGTGAAAACTGGACTTTTTCAGTCAGATAACTCCCTTGCCTCAGGAAGATGGTGAAGCACAGGTTATGCATCAGTCACACTCCTGTGAGAAAATGCTCTGGTGAAGCTGTGGTTATGCAGTAGTTACAAACCACTGACACTTGGACAATGCTCTGGTGAAGCTCCGGTTATGCAGTAGTTACATACCAGTGACACTTGGACAATGCTCTGGTGAAACTCATTACTCCACGACTACCAGTAATGGATTTTAAACCTTTTTGTCAACCTAATAAACATGTGAATCAATATTTGGACAGTGACAATGACATCCGCAGACAAAATAAAACAGAATAAAAGAGATTCCCTTGCCAGTGATAGCTTACATCACGAACAACCTTCAACAAAACTATAACGTCCATAACAATGCACAAGGAATGAGATCCCAGGCTGATTCCTAGATGACCCACTGTCGGCACTCTTCGCCCCAACTCCTCTGGGTACAATGTTCATGTTAATATTCACTCTTGATTAGTCTCCTTTTCAAACAGTAAAAAAATATAGAATAACTGTATGATATGCATATTAACTAATAATACTTCATAAATATCTGAAATATGTGCATCATACAAATACAGCGATGAGTCGACGTGGTACAGAGGGTCTTTGCATCACCATTCAGGGCTTGATTCAGCTATAAAAAAAACATGCACCAGTGCAACCTATGATTGTAACATGCATCCTAATATTTATGTCTAAATGCGTATCAATTTTTTTCCAATTTGTGTCTAACCCTTACATGTCCATACAACATTGAGAATTGAACACATTCAAAACTTGAGAGCTTATTTTCCATACAAAAGCAATAATCTCCCTTATAATGTGTTATTTGCATTGCATTTCAGGGCTTGATGTCAAAATGGGAGTACTTCAAGATAATGTGCATGTTTTAACTTCGATAAATTTATAGGTACAGGGTGCAAGCAGTTTTCTTTTCTGGTACAACTAGGTTTGCGTGTCAACATGCACCTGGACAAGTTAAATCAAGTTCCTTAAATCAAGCCCTGGCAGTGTTGGTCCACCACGCACACAACAACTTGGATTTAGTATCAGTTGGTTTTCAACAAATTGGGCCTAAATTTAATGGGGGTGGTGGAAAGATTAACAAAGAAATCATGTATAAGTTTCTATGAATGGACGAAAAAGAAAGAAGTTTGGTACGTAATCGATGATTTGTCGCTAGTTCCAGCTGATTCTGTCCTCTTGACACCTGCAAACAGCAGTGGATGTTGAGGAGTGAGTGAGTTGGGTTTAACGCCGCTTTTAACAGTATTCTAGTTACATCACGGCGTGTCAGCTTAATGTGGGAGGAAAGCCCGAAGTGATGTACGTCTCATACGTTTACCACTTCGGTGAAACCCACGAGCACGGGTATGGTGCTGACAAACCTAGAAACATAATCGGGGCGAACCGGGATTTGAACCCACAATCACAGGTTTCTGGCATGCCCAAGGGACGCAACTCTGCACAGCGAATCGTGACGCCTTAGACGACTGGGCCACCCGTGCCCTTGAAGTGGAGAACATCAAACTGTGTATTGGGTTTCAGACTGTTTAGTTTCTGAAGCCATCAGCAGCCCTATAGATAAGCTGTGGGTTATTTGGGATTTTACTCAGGGGTTCGATTTTGAGTGTATATCCACAAGTTTTAGATGGTATTCAAAACATTTTTACCCACCTCTTTCTCGGCATTTGGGAATTTAACTTAAAACCTGTTTCGTAACAATCCCGTTTAAAACTATGTGAATAGTAGTATACCCGTCTGCGTCTGTTTGCGGCTCCCTCCCCGGGAAGACAATTTTTGTTTACAAAACCTAGCATTGTAAGAAAGCTATTGTTTTAATTACCAATCTACGACTAATTAAGATACAACACGTACATTTGCCTAGGCACAACGTGCTTTTCCGAATGTAACTGTCGGTAAGTGAATTTGGTGATCGTCTGATACACAATAATTTTTTCTAACAGTTGTAATGTTCGCAACGGTTAATTCAAATAGTTGTAATATACGCATTATTTTTATTTCAATAGTGTATTTATAGTTTTTGTTGCGTATTTTATACGCTAGTATTTTATTTGTCTGCAAACTTCAGTTTATTTAATGTGTATTTTACGCAAATACGCAACTTATCTCGAGCTCTGCATAAGTTTGAATACAGAAGTGGTTTCATCCTCTCACCGCCCACAAATGAAATTCAGTTCCCCATTGCAAAATATGTCAAAAGTAATTTCTTTTCTTCTGGTGTTTTAAAGTCATTCGGTCACAAAAATCAACCAACAGACAACAAAAGGCCCTGTGGTAGCACCAACACTGTCTATGAACCAGGTTCTGAAGTTCACCTTCACAATACCTGATAAAACCAAAGGACTGCGTCTCTAGGGTTAACTGAAAGGTGGCCACCCTACCCCAGTCACTCCGACAGGTCATCCTTCATACACACTGACCAAGGCAGTAGGATACATAACATATACGTTGTAGCAAGTGATATCAAAGGGCAACAGCTCCACCATACACGCAGTACTCACAAACTGTGGCTCAAGGTACGTTCAATATCTTCACATTTGGTCATGAAATAAAGTTTCTCATCAGCTCATTAAAACATGAAGTAAAGTTTCTCTCAGTTGCAGAATATTGATAAACTCATAAGCAATGATGGCATCAGATATATTGACACACTAAATAATGTTCAGCCAAATGACAAAAAACAAAGAAATTGGTTTGTGAGGCCTGAAGGCATGCTAGGTAATGTTGTCTGAGTTTGAATCCTCATTCCCGTTGTCATACCCGGACATAAGCTTCCCGTAACACTTGACTTGAAAGAGTCAAAATCAACTCTATGTATTCAAAGTGTTTCTGTATTGTTTAGACTAAAATTTCTTGCTGGCCAAAACCAAAATTATACATTTCAATGACACGGGATGAGAAACTTTATTTCCACTTTTCCTATCCGTACCTCACTGACGATCTGACAAGAAGTCTACTGATACAGCAGTCCTCTGTTTGTTGCAAAGCCTTCCCTGTTTCATGACAAGGAGCAAAGCAATTAACCCATTTTTCTTGGAATGATCCAATGTCACAACACGTTCACACACAGCCAGAGAGCCACACACAACTCCCTGCCTTTGACAAAGACGACTACCAGACGTTCCGTGACACAGTGACGTAAGCTCACAAGGCTGTGTGTACCAATAAATACACCGTAATACACAGATAAAAATATTGCATCCAAACTTGTAGTGTCACAAAGAAAGACTATTGTCACATTGACCACCGGCCAGCTCTACTCCACTTCATACTTGCTGTCGGGGAAGGTGTTTCCGTTGTGGTATCGGCTGGCGTAGGGGTCGTTGTTGATGGAGGCCATGGAGTAGGATGATGCGGGCTGGTTGACCACGCCGCCGTGCCCGGCAGCCCGCGCCTCCACCTCCTCCACGAGGTCCCCGTCCGTCATGTTGTAGAGCAACTTCTCCTTCATGTTGCGAGATCGGTGGCCCTGGGCGCTGCGGGCGGCGCTGTTCAGGGAGATGGTCTCAGGACTGAAGGAAGTCCCGTATAATCGGATTCTGTAAATAGAATGTCACATGTCTTAGGCTGGTACATCTTTTATTTATCCAACACTTTTGTAAGTGTTGAGTGTGATTATGATCTAATCAGTGTTCTAATTGAATAGCAGTTTCAAACCTGTATGTTTAAGATATTCTGGACTTAAGATAACCCCCGTAAATCAAAACAATACACTCTTGGCTGGTTGGTTTGTTGTTTTACGCCGTACTCAGCAATATTCCAGCTATATGACCGCGGTCTGTAAAATAATTGAGTCTGGACCAGACAATCCAGTGATTGATATCATGAGCATCGATCCATGCAATTGGGATCGATGACATGCATCAACCAAGTCAGCGAGCCTGACCACCCGATCCCGTTAGTCGCCTTTTACGACAAGCATAGTTGCCTTTTATGGCAAGCATGGGTTGCTGAAGACCTATTCTACCCCGGATCTTCACGGGTCCAATACACTCTTGAAACAAGTTAAAACTTGTAATGTATACAACACTACAGTAGACCACGGATATAACGAACACGGAAAGAGCGAACACGGATAGAGCGAACAAAGGGATACAACTACCTGTCACAAAATCCATGACTTATCTCCTATATATTATCATATAAAATTTACGTACAGGACAAACTCTCTTCAGCATATTTACGTATCTATCGAACTGATATCTGATCCCTGGAAAGCCCAAATACTACAAATTAGTGACATGTATAGCGAACTGAGGAATCTCATTCAGTGTCAAGTGTCACTAACAATTGGCTATACGCAATCAGCAGTGAATCAACACAATCAACTGCGAATCCACACAATCGCGGTGAATCCACAGAATTGCGGCGAATCCACACAATCGGAGTGAATCCACATAATCGCGGCGAATCCACAGAATTGCGGCGAATCCACACAATCAGAGTGAATCCACACAATCGCGGCGAATCCACAGAATTGCGGTGAATCAACACAATCGCAGCGAATCAACACCATGGGCTGCGAATCACAATCAGCGTCGCTTGAACGCAACCAGCTGCGAAACAACACAATCAGCGGCGAATCACAATCAGCGTCGAATGAACGCAACCAGCTGCGAAACAACACAATCAGCGGCAAATCACAATCAGCGTCGCATCAACACAATCAGCGGCGTATCAACACAATCAGCGGCGAATCAACACAATCAGCTGCGAAACACAATCAGCGGCGAATCAACACAATCAGCGGCGTATCAACACAATCAGCGGCGTATCAACACAATCAGCTGCGAAACACAATCAGCGGCGAATCAACACAATCAGCGGCGTATCAACACAATCAGCGGCGTATCAACACAATCAGCTGCGTATCAACACAATCAGCGGCGTATCAACACAATCAGCGGCGTATCAACACAATCAGCGGCGTATCAACACAATCAGCGGCGTATCAACACAATCAGCTGCGTATCAACACAATCAGCGGCGTATCAACACAATCAGCGGCGTATCAACACAATCAGCGGCGTATCAACACAATCAGCGGCGTATCAACACAATCAGCTGCGAAACACCATAATCAGCGACGTATCAACACATTCAGCGGCGTATCAACACAATCAGCTGCGAAACAACACAATCAGCGACAAATCACAATCAGCTGTGAATCAACACAATCAGCAGCGTATCAACACAATCAGCGGCGTATCAACACATTCAGCGGCAAATCAACCTTGTTAAACTTTATGCTTTATGTTAATCTTAGTATTCATACTGTTCATGTAATTGGACTAATCTTGTCTGTAAAACAAACATTAAATCTTTGCAGTTTCACGACTGCAGTTTGCAGAACGAGGCCAGAGCAAAATCGCCGCCTACACATCTCCCCATATGTAAATCGTGAAATGCTAAATACATATTTGATAAACAAGCTTCTAAAAATGATATGACTTAAATGTTATGAAATGTTATCAGTTGAATGCTATGACGTAATTACTGCTTATACAAGTCAATGCTACAATTATGTATTTTGTATTTTGCTTTATCCAACATCATGATGGCGGACATTTCCAAGCGAAAACGTACATCACAAACAACATATAACGAACTGATTTCTCCAATCTACAGGCAGATGGTCTATCCACTAGACGACGGAGGTGGTATATTGGCAAATGCTCTACCACTAGACCTCGGAGGCGATCTACGGGCAATTACACTATCCACTAGACAACGGAAGTGGTATATTGGCAAATGCTCTACCACTAGACCACAGAAGCAGTCTATGTGTAGATGCACTATCCACTAGACCACGGAGACAGTCTACGGGCAGATGCACTATCCACTAGACCACGGAGACAGTCTACGTGTAGATGCACTATCCACTAGACCACGGAGACAGTCTACGGGCAGATGCACTATCCACTAGACCACGGAGACAGTCTACGGGCAGATGCACTATCCACTAGACCACGGAGACAGTCTACGGGCAGATGCACTATCCACTAGACCACGGAGACAGTCTACGGGCAGATGCACTATCCACTAGACCACGGAGACAGTCTACGTGTAGATGCACTATCCACTAGACCACGGAGACAGTCTACGGGCAGATGCACTATCCACTAGACCACAGATGGCGGTCTACGTGCAGATGCACTATCCACTAGACCACAGATGGCGGTCTACGTGCAGATGCACTATCCACTAGACCACGGAGACAGTCTACGGGCAGATGCACTATCCACTAGACCACGGAGACAGTCTACGGGCAGATGCACTATCCACTAGACCACGGAGACAGTCTACGGGCAGATTCACTATCCACTAGACCACGGAGACAGTCTACGGGCAGATACACTATCCACTAGACCACGGAGACAGTCTACGGGCAGATGCACTATCCACTAGACCACGGAGACAGACCATGTTTTGTTGGATGAGACCAAGGTAATGGACCTTGAGTGATGTACATACCTCTGTACTATGAACACCGTGATGACAATCACAGCTGACAACACGTCCACAGTCACCCACAGGATCAGGTAGCTGGACGGCACCTGCACCAAACAAACACAATCGTTAACTCAAAGTGATGGACACTTCTCTCAACATTCAACACACATCCCCCATTTTCTGAAGAGACTGAGTGAGAAGTTGTTCATCCATATATCTTATCCTTACTTAGCCTGAGTGAGGTTTAATGAACAGAGTGAGAGTGACAGAGAGTGAGAGAGAAAGTGAGAGACGAAAGCGAAAGAAAGAGAGAAAATATAAAAAATGAGGCAGTGAGTGAGTATGGTTTTACGCCTCTTTGAGCAAAATTCCAGCAATATCACGGCGGGGGACACCAGAAATGGGCTTCACATATTGTACCCATGTCGGGAATTGAACCCGGGTCTTCGGCGCGACGATGCGAACTACCACCGACCACCCCTAAATGAGGCAGTGAGTAACACCAATGGAAACAACATCTTGCACCATAAGAACAGAACAGAACAGACTTTCATTCCAAACACAATATGTGATAATACTATCAATACTTGATTCTAATCATGAGGATAAGTGATTGATTGAGTAAGTCCGTGGGGGCATGGGTTTTCCTGCCTTGGTTCTGATAATGTGTGCGTAGATGGTTGGGTGTGCGTGTGCGTGAGTGATTGAGTGATTGACTCACCAGATGCCAGAGGGGCGCCTGGACGTGCCTGAGCGTGTGGCAGCTGTCTGCCGTGACGGAGGAGATGCCCATGCACCAACACAGGGAGTACATCCACTCGGAGTTCACAGTCCACATATTGATGCTGATGTTGGAGGCCTGGTACTCCCTGAAACACAAACAGTTGTCATAGTAACAGCTTGGAACTTCTAAGGAAGAGTCAGTGACCGAATTGAGGTTATCACAGCTGTGAACACTGTGTATATGATATCACAGCATGAAGTGGGATGTTTCACAGTGCTGACAAATCAGGAAAAATCTGGGCCCAAATCATAGGATTCTGGCATGCCTAAGGGAAGCAACTCTGCACAGCAAATTATGAAATTATGGTGTCTTAGATGATTAAACCATCTTTGGCCTGTTATAAGAAAGAAATAAGACATGGTTATGTCCCTTACATTACCAAATATTATTAGAACATGTACCCTACTGGTAATTTCCTGTGCAACAGTAGAACAGCCGACTTGTATTATTTGGGGTGGCATGTTTATTTTGTAATCAAATCGGTGCTACAGACATTCTGGGATTCTGATCCCATTGTGCTGGCCTGATATTGTGTCCAGCATGTTCAACACGTGACAAACTGGTCCACACTGACTGATCGTGTGATGCCTACTGCAGGAAATGCCTGGTTCTGTGACTCACTCTATCTGGTCGTCGGTCAGCTCCGTGTACTGGACATTGACGATGGACATGTTGGCCTTCCTGAGACTGCTGACGGGGATGTAGTATTCGCCCACGACGGTGACACCGGTGGGGCGGCTGTTGTTGAATGTGGTCTGTAGCCACCAGACCTGAAGCAGGGATATGACTGTAACTCACACTGGTAGACCTATCCAGCATTCCACTGTGCCGGGATGCCTGGAGATGCCCAGGGGTCCCGGGGGTTGCCTGGAGACACCTAGGATGCATGGCGTGTCAGGGTGTTTGGGGGTGTCTGAGCTGTCTGAGTGTGTGCCTAGTATGCCATGGAGTGTCTGAGATGTCTTGGGGTGCCTAGTTTGCCTATGAGGGTGTCTTGGGGTGTCTAGTATGCCTGAGGGTGTCTGGGGGTGTCTAGTATGCCTGAGGGTGTCTGGGGGTGTCTAGTATGTCTGAGGGTGTCTGGGGGTGTCTATTATGTCTGGGGGTGTCTAGTATGCCTGAGGGTGTCTGGGGGTGTCTAGTATGCCTGAGGGTGCCTGAGGGTGTCTAGTATGTCTGAGGGTGTCTGGGGGTGTCTAGTATGTCTGGGGGTGTCTAGTATGCCTGAGGGTGTCTGGGGGTGTCTAGTATGCCTATGAGGGTGTCCGGGGATGCCTAGGTTGCCTGAGGGTGTCTGGGTGTGTCTAGTATGCCTGGGGGTGTCTAGTATGCCTGAGGGTATCTGGAGGTGTCTAGTATGTCTTGTATGTCTGAGGGTGTCTGGGGATGCCTAGGTTGCCTGAGGGTGTCTCGGTGTGTCTAGTATGCCTGAGGGTGTCTGGGGGTGTCTAGTATGCCTGAGGGTGTCTGGGGGTGCTTAGTATGCCTGGAATGTCTGGGTTGTCTGGGGATCCACGGGGAGTCTGGGATGCCTTGGTGTCCAAATTATTTATTGTCAGGATTTAGAATATCAAATGGTTGGTCGTTAAGAGGCGAGAAAATGAATCGGGATGCGAGGCTGAGTTGACTCTATGTCTTGGTATTCTCCATTGAAGGCAATCATGATGGCAATAGCTGGATTGTCTGGACTTGACTAGATTACTTACAGACGCCGCTCATAACACACACAACAGGTTTGCCTATTGAGAGTCTGCCATGATATTGATGGACTTTTCCAACCGTGTCGTCACTCAATCACACATGCTGACTCACTCACACCGTATCCTTACGTTTTGTAGTGGGAATCCTGCTCTCGTGAGGGCTTGTATGGTGTAGTTGACGCTCAGATTGAAGCAGGGGTGTGACTGTGGCGGGGCCCGCAGGTCGAACATCAACACATTGTCACTGTAGTTTCGGCCCAATCGTGCAAGCTCCTCCAATGTCGGCAGCGTCTGATTGGCTACCTGTTTCCGTTGAGCATCGGTCAAGTCTCCGGCAGTCCAGAAAGGGTCATTCTGAGGAGAAGGTGAACATGGTTGTCAGGACATACAGTTTCAATGTACGACATTCCCATCAGAATAGGTATATCCCGAGAAACCAAGGATCATATCATCTTCCTGAGGCAAGGGTGTTAACTAACTATAAAAATCCAGTTTCAACCCTTCCTCTCTCATTAGTCTCAACCCCAGTAAACTGGAACCTGAACTTCTGGATGACGACTTAAAAAAATAAAAGAAATGGTTCTCAGGCAATGAATTTTGAAAATATAGTGCAGGCAGGCGTTGGGCATTTTTTGTTTGCTTGTTCAAACTGGTATATTACCAAACAAACAATATTGGAATCTGGAACAGGGCCTCCATACATTAAAAAGAATACAAAGTTCTATTTGCCGCTATGACCATAATATGAGATGCACATTTAAGCTGTGTGCATGTGAAGGGAAGTAACTGCTAGGGTTGGGAATTGGACCAAAAAGTGTATTGCGATATATTGCAATATTTCAAAAACATATTGCAATATTATTGCAATATATTGGGAAATAATATCTACCAAGAGAAAAGCTTTTTTTCATATCCCTTTGACAAATATTAATATGAAAGCTGCAATGTTAACAATTTGGTCAAAATTATTAACCAATTTTAATAAATTGTACTATTATTTTTATCTACAATCAAATAAAGAGTATGAAACATTTGTTTTGTCTTTGTTTTGATTTCATAAGGTAAGACTATACATCATGGCATATACATGTCAGTCACAGTTTGTATAATGAGGGAAAAACCAATACGCCAAACGAGATAAACCCGCACATCCCTAGTAACTGCTATATTGGATCGCATTGTTTTTGAGTATTAGGATTTATTTATATTTTTTTTAAATGGAAACGAAATGTGCTACAGATGTAATTATGATGTGATCAATGCCTGAGAACCAAGACTTTTATTTTTTTGCGAGTAGTATAAGGTGGTCTTGCTAGACTATAAGTAACTATACTTGACTCCGACTTTAGAATAAGGGTCACAAATTGCTGTTTATCAGCTGGTGTATAGATATTCAGTAAACTACATTTATAAAGAAACACGCTTATACCAAACTGATGAATATAATGAACTGTTTGTGTGCCTAGGATGATCTCAGTTATAACGAACTAAAATAAGGGTCCCTTTTAGTGTGTTTGTATGCTATTCTTATAAGTAAAGGGAGGTAAGTTGGTAGAGTAACCTCAACTCCCCACAAAGATATATCCTGAAAGGGCATCCTTCATTGTTCTGCGGTACTCACTTGTATAAACCAGGAACCAGCATTCAAAGCTTTTAAATCCGACATGTTGAAAGACGATGGATCATCATTTACTCGGTCCGGGAAAACATCTTTTATATTTGTGGTCCTCTCTAAGCTCCTGTCATGGAGGATGAAGGGCACACAGTCCAGGCTGAAACAGGCACCAGCCATCAGTGGTTGTAGTGTAACGCTGCACCTACCAATATTCCAACTATATACTCAAGTCTGGACCAGGCAATCCAGTGATCAATATTGTCAGCAACTATCCATGCGGTTTAGGTACAAAACTAAGCACAACTGATCCACATATCCCCACGTCATCCAGCACAACTGATCCACATATCCCCACGTCATCCAGCACAACTAATCCTCATATCCCCACGTCATCCAGCACAACTGATCCTCATATCCCCAGGTCATCCAGCACAACTAATCCCCATGTCATCCAGCACAACTAATCCTCATATCCCCACGTCATCCAGCACAACTAATCCTCATGTCCCCACGTCATCCAGCACAACTAATCCACATATCCCCACGTCATCCAGCACAACTAATCCTCATATCCCCACATCATCCAGCACAACTAATCCTCATGTCCCCACATAATCAAGCACAACTAATCCTCATGTCCCCACGTCATCCAGCACAACTAATCCTCATATCCCCACATCATCCAGCACAACTAATCCTCATATCCCCACATCATCCAGCAGAACTAATGCTCATATCCCCACATCATCCAGCACAACTGATCCTCATATCCCCACATCATCCAGCACAACTAATCCTCATATCCCCACGTCATCCAGCACAACTAATCCTCATATCCCCACGTCATCCAGCACAACTAATCCACATATCCCCACGTCATCCAGCACAACTAATCCTCATGTCCCCACATCATCCAGCACAACTAATCCACATATCCCCACATCATCCAGCACAACTAATCCTCATATCCCCACGTCATCCAGCACAACTAATCCTCATATACCCACGTCATCCAGCACAACTAATCCTCATATCCCCACGTCATCCAGCACAACTAATCCTCATGTCCCCACGTCATCCAGCACAACTAATCCTCATATGCCCACGTCATCCAGCACAACTAATCCCCATATCCCCACGTCATCCAGCACAACTTATCCTCATATCCCCACGTCATCCAGCACAACTAATCCTCATGTCCCCACGTCATCCAGCACAATTAATCCTCATGTCCCCACGTCATCCAGCACAACTAATCCTCATATCCCCACGTCATCCAGCACAACTAATCCTCATGCCCCTACGTCATCCAGCACAACTAATCCTCATGTCCCCATGTCATCCAGCACAACTAATCCTCATGTCCCCACGTCATCCAGCACAACTAATCCACATATCCCCACATCATCCAGCACAACTAATCCTCATATCCCCACATCATCCAGCACAACTAATCCTCATATTCCCACGTCATCCAGCACAACTAATGCTCATATCCCCACATCACATGTTTTCGAGCCCTTAAACAATAGGTCACCACAAGCCTTATAACGTAATTTAGGTGTTTTTTTTGGTTTTTGGTTTAACGCCGAACTCAGCAATATTCCAGCTATATGAAGGCGGTCTGTAAATAATTGAGTCTGGACCACACAATCCAGTGATTGTCATCATGATCATCAATCCAAGCAATTGGGATACAATGACATGCATCAACCAAGTCAGCAAGCCTGACCACTCGATTCCATTAGTCGCATTTCACTGCAAGCATGGGTTGCTGAAGACCTATTCTACCCCGGATCTTCACGGGTACATGGATGCGTTCATGAGCATAAGTTCACACAACATACCAGTATGTTTGTTTGTGCATCGAACCAATCTTATATCTCTTAAATATGAGTAATTCTTCATATATTAACCAAAATGCACGGTAATCACGTTTCTTTTGGGAGCAATGGGTCAGTGGCTTGGGGCTACGCTGATTTGAACACATCGTACCTGAAATCCTAGTATGTGTTTTGTTTGTTTGTCTGTTTGTTGTTTGTTGCAATATCCCGGCGGGGAACAAATGGGCTTCATACATTGTACCCATGTGGGGAAATCAAACCGAGGCACTGGGTGTGACGAGCGGACACTTTTACCACTGGGCCCAACCGCCCAACTATTCAAACAGTCCCTTATTGTGAGCATGATGTACTGGGAAACTGTTGAAGCAACTACAGCCTCCGGACCTACAGAGGAGGATGTCAGACTCACCTGATCTGCACGTCGCTCTCCACACCATAGCCTCCATCCTGGTAGGCAAACTCATACGCCATCAGTGTGTTCTCGGGTAAAATCTACAAACAGAACAGCTACATCATAACAACTTTAAACAATTAGTTGTACAACTCACCCACCCATGGTGGCTACACTGTCCATCTCACACAGAGACCTGTAGCATGTTCCAAGCTGCTGGAGATGAGTGTGTGAGTTGGGTTTTACGTCAGCTACAGATATTCCACTTTAGTGAAACCAACATGAAAAGGGGCCAGGATTCTACAGGACACAAAAGTATAGAATGGACACAAAAATAATTAAAGTGTGTTTTCAGGATGCACAGTAATATTCAGTGTAACAAATTATTGACAAGAAATATAAGGTCCATTAATGAAAGTGTTTACTAAATCTTACAGTAAAGTAAACAACACCGTATTATTACTTTACAGGAGCCTCATATTTCCTGTAAGGTAAGGGTAACAACAAGTACCATCTTTCAACATCTCTTGGTATGACGCGGCTGTGGATGGAACCCCACTTCTCCGGGTGGACGCTGTACCACTTGACCACGGAGGCGGTCCAAGGCATGATAAGAGTGGAGACATTAAGCGTGGAGCCATGTAACACTAACCTCTGATGCTCCTCGGTGGGCTAGTACGAGGGGCTTACTAGGCAAGTTGTCGGCGTGAGTGACACACGGGGAATTGATGAAGTACGGGGATATGTACAGTCCGATCATAACAGCAACATACACGGTCAGCCACAACAGCTTCAACGCTGAAAGAGGACACAAAAAGAAAATATGTGAGCCTTAATTCTGCATTGAGTATTTTGTTGTTTAACTGCACCATCAGTACTATTCCAGCTATATGACAGCAGCATCTAAATAAGAGAGCCTGGACCTAACAACCCTGTGACTGATATTATGAGCAACGATTCACGCCATCGAGGTATAATGAAATAATCCAAATCACCAAGCCTGCCTACTGGATCCATTAAGTTTCCTCATACAAGAAGCATAGGTTGTTTGGGGACAGTTCTAACCTGGAATCCCCACAGGGTCATGTAGGGGTATAATGTCCCTACATACTTTGTGTGATGACTTACACGTAGGTAATGGATTAGAATTGATCTTTAGCAACCCATGCTTGTCATAAAATGTGACTATGCTTGTCATAAAAGGCGACTATGCTTGTCATAAAAGGCGACTATGCTTGTCATAAAAGGCGACTATGCTTGTCATAAAAGGCGACCATGCTTGTCATAAAAGGCGACTATGCTTGTCATAAAAGGCGACTATGCTTGTCATAAAAGGCGACTATGCTTGTCATAAAAGGCGACCATGCTTGTCATAAAAGGCGACTATGCTTGTCATAAAAGGCGACTATGCTTGTCATAAAAGGCGACTATGCTTGTCATAAAAGGCGACTATGCTTGTCATAAGTGGCGACAAACGGGATCAGGTGGTCTGGCTCGCTGATTTGGTGGATGCATGTCATCGTATTCCAATTGCGTACATCAATGCTCATGATGTCAATCACTGGATTGTCTAATCCAGATTTGATAATCTACAGACAGCCTTCATATAGCAGGAATATTGCTGAGTGCTGCATTAAACAAAAAACTAACAAACAAATAAACAAACAAAAATATGTAGGAATCTGAGGTATACAACCCAGGGCCAATAAAATGTCCTATTTTTCTGATACGAGCAAAGTGACTCATCCATGCCAACATTTATGTCCTGAAATAAACTCATGAATAGCTATCAAATTCTAATCACGAACTAAGGACCAGGACTCTCACAAACATCCAAGTAAATTTGGAACCTGATCACATTTGCAAGTCAATATATGTTAATGCCAATTAGCTGTTTGTGAAGGAGCAATAAACTCTCATGTCAAGGGCAGGATCAGGACCTTTGACATGCATTTGCAATCACGGAAAGGCAGGGTTACACTGAAGCACTACCACTGTCAAGTGATCGTGTCACACAGAGAGTACGTGCAGGCAGAGTGTGCCCCAAGAACTGTGTTGAAACCTAAGCATGGAAGTCAGGGGGCACCTGTCACAGCCCTAATCAGGGCCCGAAAAAAAAATTCAACCCTACTTGTCCTGCAGGGCAAGAACTTTTTATTTTGTACTCGTCCTGCCAAATTTTCACTTGCCCTATTGCTCAATGCTGAACAGACAATATCATGTATCATGTACCAACCACTGAAAACAAAGTAAATAAATTGTTTCAAGATTTATTTTGTGTTTTTATTTCCACAGTAAGACAATATTGAATAAATTAAGGAAAAATAAGTTTAGTTATTTTGAACAGTTAAGTTATGATGAAAGACACATCAATCTGTCACTGTCAAAAACTTGGAAATTTTGAAAATGGTTCCCCTTCTATTGCAACATAGTAGGCTGATGTGAATAGCTTTTCATAAACTTCACTGTTTTTTTCGTCAACTTTTTGCATTGACTTCGCAAACTGCGCAGTCTGGGGTTTGTCAAAATATTTATCATGTTCACAGCACTGAATATGCTTCCTACTTTTAGGGTGAAATTTCAAAGTTTCTTTTCTGAGTCCACATTTGGGATCAGATAGTTTGGGGTATTTTCGATAGACGGTGTAATACAACTCGCTGTCATCATCGTCAAATTTTGCCCATTCAAATTCACTCAACCACGCAGATTGTACAACACGTTTCCGCTTTTGTGTATCGTATTGTTTTTGACTAAGTTTTTGTTTCTCCGCCTGTGCAGTCAATTTTTTGTCGGCACGACCGTCCGACGAGAAAAACTTTCTCATATCCGACATTTTAGTTTAGTTAGCAACTGGCCGCTTACATCAATAAAGACTGGTTTCAGCGCAAAGCCTGCGCAAAGATACATCAAGAGACAAACCTCAGCCTAATTGTTAATGCTATACATGACATAAATATCGATCGGCTGAATGGCCGTGATTTCCGTGTCAATATATTGCACATCAAAACAAATATAAATTAAACTGCTGTAAGCATCTGCTTGTCCGTCAGGACAAGTATTTGATAATTTTACCTTGCTGACATCAGTCACAACTCGTCAATACGAGCGGACGAGTGGATTTTTCGAGCCCTGCTAATGTTAAAAGTTGAGGACCCGGGAGGTCCCTAGATTCAAATACCATAGAAGACCTCAAGGACCCAGCAACCCCTAATATGGAACATTGCAATTCGATTTTTGTATAAGACTAGTCCTTGACAAGTGAAAACCTTATGTCAATAGTCCTCCGAGTTTGTAGCTAGTCCTGTCAGCCATCGTACCCACTCAGCCACCAAGGCCGTGCCAATTTACATGTCAGAGGGGTACTCCTAGTATGTGATCTAGACTACCAGTTGCCTGGCTTTCACTTTTGTGGCAGCCTCGGTGGCTGAGTGGGTTAGATCGCTGACTTTGTGTGCTGGTGATTAGGTGCCTCACTCTGGCAAGTATGGGCTCGAATCACAGATGGGACTCAACCCAAAAAAGAACGAGAATCTGTACTTTACTAAGAAAGTGTTATCCCAAATATAACATTTGTTACATGCGACCACGTTCTTGACGGCATCGTGTATTCCTGGTTTGAGGGGGTTAACATTTCCTGTGAAGGTGAGAGGATAAGGTTCAACAACAGCTGAATCAGTTGTGTCATTATTAGGATACCAGTGCACGTAATGAGACACATCTGTGAAATGAGCACTGCTTGCCCTCCTTTCATCACACCCACAGGTCAGAGGTCACGCAACTAATGAGCCCAATAACAGCCTGCAAAGGGAGATAACCCTTGTTGAGGCCCTCCCAGATGTGATCTGTGTGAAACATCCGATGACTGCAATGCTGCCCAAACTAAAACCTTTATCAGTTTTTCAACAGATGGCATAAACCATGATGGCAGTCATCATTGTTTTAGCTAAGAACCCATCAGTGTGGCCAAAAGGAACAAAACAAAAAATCACAAACATTAGACTTAAAAAAATAAAAGAATTGGTTCTCAGGCAATGACTTTTGAAAATATAGTGCGGGCGGGGAGTGTTTTTTATCCTTTTTTTTGCTTGTTCAAACTAGTATGTACCCAAATAAACAGTTGTGTACCATCAACCTGGGAAAGGACCTCCCTACATAAACAAGCAAACAAACTCCTATTGCCGCCATGACCATAATATGAGATTAGCAGTAAAGCAGTGCAAATGTAAAGGGAAGTAACTGCGTGCTGTATTGGATCACATTGTGTTTAAGTATTAGGAAGCAATAGTCTTGGTTCTCAGGCACTGCCTGCATCATCATAATATCTGCCGCACGTTTCGTTTTAATTTCCATTTTCCCCAAAAAATCAAAAGAAGTTACGCAGTTACTTCCTATTACTGCGCATCTCGTGATACGGTAGCAATAGGAGTTTGTATGCTTGTTTATGTTGGGAGGCCCTTTCCCAGGTTGATAGAAGACAACTGTTTATTTGGTTACAAACTAGTTTGAACAAGCAAAACAAACCCCGCCTGCCCGCACTATATATTCAAAAGTCATTGCCTTAGAACCAATTCTAAAAAAAAAAATTAAGCCTAATAATAATATTACACGGTGAACATGGTATCATGAGATTAACAATAAATATTAGGCTAAAAAAATACTAGTTTTGGTTCTCAGGCACTGCCCGCATCATCATAAAGTCTTTTATTTCGATTTAAAAAAATTAAAAAATCCTAATACTTAAAAATAATGCGATCCAATATAGAACAAGTATATGCTCCCAGTAGACAATACAAGCATGCTTCAGCTTTTTGCAGAACAACTCGGGTCCAACAGTTTGTTTCTTCATGCCATAGCCATCAATATTCCAGTCATGTAATGGTGGCTTATAGTTAATCTGTAAGACCTATAAGTGGTTGATATTACAGGCAATGTCTCTTGGCGTTGATGTTCAATGACACCCGACCCTTTCAGGATCATCACTAAATGAATAATTTAACCGTGACTTTACTGTTTAGTGGTGTTCAGAGCTGTGTCAACAGAAGTGCCTACCTACCCCAATGTGAGAGTTTAAACCACTGAAGGGAGATAACCCATGTCATCAGAGTCATCAGCACAACTGCACCGATCTGGAGGAAGGGTCCCGTGATCTGCAACCAGAGAACACAACATTGCACTACACTGATACACACTTCACATATACTCACCGACAAAAGAAACGTGATTACCATGCATTTTGGTTAATATATGAAGAATTACTCATATTCAAGAGATATAAGATTGGTTTGACACAAACTAACATACTGGTATGTTGTGTGTACATTCCATGTGACGATATAGATCCATGACTTGAGATGCACCATGTATCTCATGCAGGATTAGCGTGTGAAGATTGGAAATCACGTGGAGCATATCTTGATACGAATAAAGACACTTTGTGGTAAGACTTGACTGATTGTCAGTCTTGTCATTAAGTTGTACACATTGGAAACATGTCTTCTCAACTACATTCTTCTCTATATCAGCATATGTTTCTATGGTTTGCGTTTCTTTTGGTGGTGAGTATACTTGCGAGACTAGATTCAGTACATTGGGTGCTACAGCAAGTGTAAACCACCATCCCCAAAACACAAATTTGCATGGTCAGCATAGTGATAGTGAGGTGAGGTAAAATGGGGTTTGATGTCGCATCCAAGATTATTGCACTTATATAGGAAAGTGCATGCAGGTGTGTGTAAGTGTGGCTGCTCTTGCTAGACCAAATTAATGCCGATTTTATAGTGCTAGCCCACTGAGATACCACGCCACAGTTTAACATGAATATCCCACTCTGACACAGCATACTGACACCGAGCATAGAGTAACAACAAGTAGCATCTTTTAACAGCTTTTGGCATGACGAGGCCATGGATGGAACCCTGGAACTTCCGCTCTCTGGGATGATGCTCTACCACTAGACCACAGAGGCGGTTCAGTAGAGTGAGTGATTGATAGTAACCAGGCTTTCAACCAAAGAGTTTTTGTTTGTTTATTTGTTTGTTTGTTGTTTAAATTCCAGCTATATGAAGGGGTCTGTAAAAAATCAAGTCTGGATCAGACAATGAAGTGATTGACGTCATGAGCATTGACTCATGCATTTGGGACATGATGACAAACAAATCAGCGAGCCTGACCACCCGACCACCTGATCCTGTTAGTCGCCTCTTTAGACAAGCATAGGGTGCTGGTTACTAAGGGTGTGTGTTATTACCAGTATGTCGGTAAATTGAGGTTCACTCTTTCCACGATACGTATCATAATATAATTTTTAATGCTCGGTATATCGGGTGATTTAAAATGCCGATTTTGTAATGTGTTTAATTTGACACACTTGCCAAATACCCAAAGCTTGCATCACGAGCATGCATCAGCGCCTATTTATTGAATGGCTAAACATGTTGTACCACTCAGTACCAGCATCTTTTGTTCCATTTCTAAACTTCAAATCATACACTGGTGTTTCAAATTGCTTCTGAATTCAAAATGTAGAATCATACAATGTATCGTGAAACGTATCACAATACGGCCTTGCACATCATGAAGTATTGAGCTGATGAGGTGAACTCACCCTGAGAGAGAGTAATACTAGTGTCCATTCAGAGCGCCACATCAACTCCACGGCAACCGTGATGGCAACGCAGCCCAGCAGGCTGAAAAGGATGACAGCGATGTGGACCGGGTGGATGTAGAGTTGGTGGCCGTGCAGGACGTGGCACAACACCAGGCACTGCAAGTACAGCACAACACAGAGGATGTTACACAGCAGTCAGAACAGAAAATAGCACAAAACATAGGACATTTCTACCATGGTTAGAGGTGGAGCAATGGGTCAGTGGCTTGGGGCTAAGCTGCTTTGAACACATCGTACCGGAAATCCTAGTATGTGTTTTGTTTGTTTGTTTGTCTGTTGTTTAAAGCCGCACTCAGCAATATTCCAGCTATATGACGGCCTTCTGTAAATAATCGAGTCTGGACCAGACAATCCAGTGATTGACATCATGAGCATCGATCCACGCATTTGGGATACGATGACATGCATCAACCAAGTCAGCAAGTCTGACCACCTGATCCCATTAGTCGCCTCTTACGACAAGCATAGTTGCCTTTTACGGCAAGCATGGGTTGCTGAAGACCTATTCTCCCCCCGGATCTTCACGGGTCTACCTGGATGTGTGAGTAATGGGATGCAGGTTCGATCATACAGCAGTAGTCGAAGTATGAATGGAAATCAAGGGGTCCTTGGCTTAATCAAAATTAAAAAAGTTAAAGATATAAAGAGTTCCCTTGAAGCAAAAACTATGGGAGAAGATATCAAGGACCACAGTACCACCTGACACTGTACAGGATGTTAGTAGAACAACTAGTTCAAAACACAGGACATTGTCATCTTGCTGAAGGTAGGACCAGGGTCAGGGAAACGGCACGGTCCAAAGTAACCGCCAGCCCCCCTGGCCGTGACTGTCTAGCAGATAATTTTAAGACTACTTACATATTCATTTTTTTTATAACTGCTCACAGCTTCTCAATTAGTTGTTTGCATTATTTCAACTGAATCAAGATGGGATATGACTCTTATTTTTCGTGATTTTTCAACATTTATAACATCTGAAATCGGCAGATAACTTTGAAGATGGGCAGGCAACATTTATAGGTCACGTGTGGGGAGTGAGTGAGTATTGTTTTACGCCACTTTTAGCAATATTCTAGCAATATCACGGCAGGGAACACCAGAAATAGGCTTCACACATTGTACCCATGTAGAGAATCGAACCCAGGCCTTAGTCGTGACGACCAAATGCTTTATCCCCGAGGCCAACACTCTAGCCACTACACGACCCTGGCGCCCCAGGCCATGACAACCCAGTGTCAGCATGGTAAGGGCGGTGGTGGTGGGCTGGTATCCTGTACAGCTACCCACCATGACTATAATGAAGTAGGCCAACACTCTAGCCACTACACGACCCTGGCACCCACATGTCACACCCCCAGGCCATGACAACCCAGTGTCAGCATGGTAAGGGCGGTGGTGGTGGGCTGGTATCCTGTACAGCTACCCACCATGACTATAATGAAGTAGGCCAACACTCTAGCCACTACACGACCCTGGCCATGACAACCCAGTGTCAGCATGGTGAGGGCGGGAGTGGTGGGCTGGTATCCTGTACAGCTACCCACCATGACTATAATGAAGTAGGCCAACACTCTAGCCACTACACGACCCTGGCACCCACATGTCACACCCCCAGGCCATGACAACCCAGTGTCAGCATGGTAAGGGCGGTGGTGGTGGGCTGGTATCCTGTACAGCTACCCACCATGACTATAATGAAGTAGGCCAACACTCTAGCCACTACACGACCCTGGCCATGACAACCCAGTGTCAGCATGGTAAGGGCGGTGGTGGTGGGCTGGTATCCTGTACAGCTACCCACCATGACTATAATGAAGTAGGCCAACACTCTAGCCACTACACGACCCTGGCACCCCTGGCCATGACAACCCAGTGTCAGCATGGTAAGGGCGGTGGTGGTGGGCTGGTATCCTGTACAGCTACCCACCATGACTATAATGAAGTAGGCAAACACGGCGCAGGTCAGCCCCAGGATGATTCTGTACCAGGGAACCCATGTCCTCAGCAGCCCAAACATGTGCCTGAAACCACAAACCATATGTGAAATCATACAGTGAAACCACAGACAGTGAAATCATAGACAGTGAAACCAGAGACAGTGAAACCATAGACAGTGAAATCATAGACAGTGAAATCATAGACAGTGAAATCATACAGTGAAACCATAGACAGTGAAACCATAGACAGTGAAATCATAGACAGTGAAATCATAGACAGTGAAACCATAGACAGTGAAATCATAGACAGTGAAATCATAGACATTGAAACCATAGACAGTGAAATCATACACAGTGAAATCATACACAGTGAAACCATAGACAGTGAAACCATAGACAGTGAAGTCATAGACACTGCAACCATAGACACTGAAACCATAGACAGTGAAGTCATAGACACTGCAACCATAGACACTGAAACCATAGACAGTGAAATCATTGACACTGCAACCATAGACAGTGAAACCATAGACAGTGAAATCATTGACACTGCAACCATAGACAGTGAAACCATAGTGACCCACTTTTATAGCAAGCATGGGTTGCTGAAGACCTATTCTCTACCCGGATATTCACGGGTCTATCCACAGATGCAGTCTATTCATCGTAGGTAGTAGATGGATAAATACCCTTTTTTTACTTGTGGAAAAACAAACTCAACCCAACTCCATTTCAACATAAAGGCCCATGACTATATATTGTGCAATTAGTGTGGAGGTATGGCTGTGGCCACTCACCAGTTGAGGTCATCAAAGCTGTTCTTGACGATGAGCCAGAAGTAGAAGTAGAAGATGATGTAGAGGAATGTCAGGCAGAAGAGGCTGAACCAGAACAGGTCTCGCTGAAACACAAGCGTAAATCTCAAACACATGATGCAGTCTCGCTGAAACACAAACGTAAATCTCAAACACATGATACGGTCTCGCTGAAACACAAACGTAAATCTCAAACACATGATGCAGTCTCGCTGAAACACAAACGTAAATCTCAAACACATGGTACAGTCTCGCTGAAACACAAGCGTAAATCTCAAACACATGATACAGTCTTGCTGAAACACAAACGTAAATCTCAAACACATGGTATGGTCTCACTGAAACACAAGCGTAAATCTCAAACACATGATACAGTCTCGCTGAAACACAAACGTAAATCTCAAACACATGATACGGTCTCGCTGAAACACAAACGTAAATCTCAAACACATGATGCAGTCTCGCTGAAACACAAACGTAAATCTCAAACACATGATACAGTCTCACTGAAACACAAGCTTAAATCTCAAACACATGATACAGTCTCGCTGAAACACAAGCGTAAATCTCAAACACATGATACAGTCTCACTGAAACACAAACGTAAATCTCAAACACATAATACAGTCTCACTGAAACACAAACGTAAATCTCAAACACATGATACAGTCTCACTGAAACACAAGCGTAAATCTCAAACACATGATACAGTCTCACTGAAACACAAGTGTAAATCTCAAACACATGATACAGTCTCACTGAAACACAAGCGTAAATCTCAAACACATGATACAGTCTCACTGAAACACAAGCGTAAATCTCAAACACATGATACAGTCTCGCTGAAACACAAATGTAAATATCAAACACACGATACAGTCTCACTGAAACACAAATCTCATGAACAGATCACAGTGAAACTAAAACATAAATCTCAAGCACAGGATTTTGCTTTTGTTTTGTTCGTTTTGTTTGCTGCTTAACACTGCACTCATCAGCCTGTAAACAATTGAGTCTGGTTCATTCAATCCAGTGAGAGAGTGAGTACGGTTTTACACCGCTTTTAACAATATTCCAGCAATATCACAGCAGGGGACACCAGAAATGGGCTTCACACATTGTACTCATGTCGGGAATCAAACCCGGGTCTTCGCATCATGAGCGAACACTTTAACCACTAGGCTACCCGCCCGCCCCATTCAAACCAGTACCGATATCATGAACAACGATCCACACCATCAGGGTACAATGACACGCGATCAACCAAGTCACTGAGCGATCATTTAGTCGCCCTCATGTCTGGCAGAACCCCCATGGGGCTGTCTCAAAGAAAGGAACGGGTCATTAAGAAACACAGACACCGGGATGGATATCAGCACTAGACCGGACCAGTCTTGTTAATGTTAAAGATATCCTAAGAGCTGTTTCAATTATTTTATGGGGAGGGGGAATTGCTATGTGTTATCACTATTCAGGATAGTGGACGTTCTTGGTTAATTTCTCTCCCAGACATAGAGACCTCCAACACAAGACCAGGTCACAGAAACACACCCTATCTCCAACACACACAATCATGGTGTAAAGGAGATGTGCTGCCGTGAAACAAGAGACAGTTTCAAACAAACACTTACAGATATAAAAGCATCTCTACATCAACCCACTTGAGTACTTGACAGCCCATAAATCACATTCCATACCAACTCCAGATAGCCAGCTTCAGTGCATGTTCACAACTGATGTGCACGTGTTCCTCCTGATGGGACATTGGACAGCTAGGACACATTCCGGACAAAATATAACATAAGCCTAAAGCTCAATAGTGAATTTAGACGTTGGTCCGGAGCGGAATCTACGAATATTCAGGTTTGGTATTAGCTCAACTATTAAACGTCCATGTACAAAGACTGATCTAAACAAAATTCTATATATAACATGAGCCTAAAGCCAGTGATAGAAATTGGTGCTAGTCCTATAGTGAGTGAGTGAGTATGGTTTTACGCCGCTGTTAGCATTATTCCAGCAATATCACGGCAGGGGACACATGAAATGGGCTTCACACATTGTACCCATGTCGGGAATCGAACTCGGGTCTTCGGCGTGACGAGCGAACGCTTTAACCACAAGGCTACCCGACCGCCCCTCTAGTCCTATAGTCCTTGCCAAACTGCCCAATAGTTAAGGTATCCTAGGGCCGAGTAGAAAATTGCCCTTTTACCTTGTGGACTAAAACTGTTAGTTTCTACCGCACGCCACTAGTCCGGAGCGGAAGCTACGAATATTCCGTTTGGTATTAGCTCAACTATTAAATGTCCATGTACAAAAACTGATCTGAACAAATTTGTAAGTGTTGGCCTTCCAGACTCAAAAGCTTTTCTCACAGACTGGATTCTACCTGTTTCTTGCCTTAACCTACTGCATGTTCTCTGATAAACCAAACTTGTATTGTACTCTCAGGCCTCAAAGTTTACATTTTTACCAAGTGGCTACAAATATTTTTTTCCAGGTAGCCAGTGGTAAAATAAAGAGGTCAAGCCAATATTGTAGGTAGCCAAAAGCATTTGAAATGATCTTTTATGAAATAACCATTAAATGTACAGGTCATAGCACTAGTCTTGGAATTGTATATGAGTGGAAACTGTACTTGAGTTTTATTATTTATGACTTGAACAATGATGCAATACATGTATATATTACTAGATTATAGGTATATCCTTGCTTATCCAATAAACTATCAACTAAAATAAAATACTAATTACATTAATATTTATGTATTTCGGTTCATTGTTGACTTTAGGAGGAATTATTTGTGAGTACAATTAGTAGCAGACATGTTTATTTTTGTGTCTAGATATGTGTAGCAATAGAATTTAGTCGCCACAAGATATTTTTCAAGGTAGTCATTTGGCTACTTCTGAATTCTAGACAGTAGACAAATTGATCGCATTGGCGACCGCTTCAGTAGCAACTTTGAGGCCTGACTCTGGGCCACGAGTCCTCCAATACTGTAATGAAGAATCTTGAACACTGAATCTTAAATTTACACCAGGTGAGCCAGCTGACCATACCCAACTGTACACAATCAACCTTGCTCCACTGTCTGCAGTGTGGAGAAGAACTTATACATACAAAGATAATTAACAGTCGATAAATGGTGTCATTTCAGAGACGAAATGGTTATTAAGTTACTATATAACAACATTGCTACACATGGTAATCTCGTCTGACAAGGATGAGGCCCAGATGAAGGATTAACCCAGAGAAGCAGGGCCTCCCGTCCAGCAGACATCAGGAGCTGCTGTGTATTTTATGTGTTTGTTTTGCCGTTTTTGATAGACTGCTCGGACCCTCCAAGCCCATCACACAGAAGGAACTTCACATCAACACCAGCATCAATAGCCTCTGTATCATCACAGCGTGTAGCTCTGTGCAGACCACCTACCATATCAGTTTGTGACCAACTCGTGTTATTCCGGGACAAGCCGAATAACAACTTGTGCCCTTCTCATGGCCATTTTGGCGACCAGGTTCTGTCTTAGCGCAAATGGGCATACCTAAAACAATTGTCAACTCGTTGCGTAATGGTTCACTTATATTTCTTAATTATACAGTATGATTGAACACATTTCACTGTGTCTTGGGTACATTTTTAGATGCAAGACATATGTAAAATCAAAAATTATTTCTGAGGGATTCTTTGACAAAAAAATTGAAATCATACCCCCATTCTGTTTGGTTTGTCATAATTTCACACAAAACATTCATCTATAGGGGGACGAGTCTTCTTGCAGGTTATAGAAAGGAGCGAGCGGTGACGAATGCTACCATTTATGACTCCGATAAACCAAATATTGAGGACCAGTAAAATATTCTGTAGAAAAGGGTCAGCTTATGTATGGGTTAATCTTTCATCAAACTCTATCGCTTTGTAAAAAACACTGTATCGCTTCACGTGAAGGAACAACACCATAACAAACTTTGTCAACGAAAATGTGGAATTTGCGATTAAACATCACTAGTCATGATGATTTACCATTCAGATTGTATTTCTTGTTATGCTAGGCATTGTTTTATATGCAGGGATAAAGATTACCGTGTGTATTGTCTCGTAAACTAAGCCAGAAATAGCAATCAGCAGTATATATACACATGTGTTCTCCCAATCCACCAGTGATTACGTTACTACCTCGGTTTATCTATGAGATCAAATCAACTAAGGTTATATACGGTACTGAAGCACTCCCTCATCCCGATGATGTGTGAATGTGCACACCTCCTGTGTATACTGCTGCAGCTCCAGCCAGTAGGGCTGGCAAAAAAGATTGATAATCAGAATTATCGTCGATGTGAAGAAATATTAACAATTATCAATATGAGTGAGGGAGTATGGTTTTACGACGCTTTTAGCAATATTCCAGCAATATCACGACGGACGACACCAGGAATGGGCTTCACAGATTGTACCCATGTCGGGAATCGAACACGGGTCTTCGGAGTGGCAAGTGAACACTTTAACCACTAGGCTACCCAACCGCCCCTATCATCAATATGAAAATTGTGTCATCGATAATATCTTTTCACACTATTGTGATGAAAAAAAAGGTTTTAACTACTGAAGCAGACTTGTTTTTGTCCATTGCCGAAGACAGGAAGCAGCTGAGTTTGTTATATCTCAAATGTCCACAAAGTAATCCATGCATGAATGTGTCGCCACTAACCAGAGACGTGAAAAATGTTGTTTTGTCTCTGAACTTTTTGCATATTTGCTCCAAGTTACTTAACGATTTTCAATCTCTGAGGTTTATATCAATAGCCAGCCATACCGGCTGGCCTGTCTGTCAGCGAGCTGGCAGGATGCAGTAATCGACAGTCGGACAAGAGGCCTGCAGTTCATAATCAGGCCCATCAATGAAAACCAGCAGACAGCCACCAAACTACGGAATACGTACTTTAATCATTATGATGCACAATAGTCCTGCACCATGACTGAGGAATATATTTATTTTATGAAATAAAAAAAAAGCAAGTCCAGCCAGCTCTAGCTAGCTCACATATCAGCATAGGGAAAATTATTTTTTTAATTTTTAGA